CGTTGTTATGTAAGAACTTCTTCTTGTTTCAACTGATTTACAATGTCATATGAATCAAAAACTTGTTTCGGCACATAATAATAATAATAATAATAATAATAATAATAACAATCCGACTCAATTTTATATATACATATTTAAAATAATCAAGCAAACAAGCAAGCAAGAACGAATAACAACCACCGCCACCACTAAAACCATTAGTAACACGGTTGGCCATCATGTTAAGAGAAAGAGATTGTTGCGTAACGCACGCACACACACACATTTTTTTTCAAAGGAGGAGGTGGAGGAAGAGGAGGAAAAGAGTGTGTGTGTGGAGGGTGTGATATGGTCGTTAATACTCGTTTTTTTTTTTTAATATTCGTTCGTAATACATAAATTTAAATTATTATTATTATTATTACACGGTACGACGTTATGGATTCCATATTTTCCTCTTTCACAACGATTCTCACCCCGTTTTTTTATTTGATTTTATTAAAATTATCGAAATGCAAAAAAAAACTCGAATCTCGAATCGAAATTCAGGTACTTAAATGATATTTCGACCTTGAAATTGCATCACGAAAATATTTTTTGAAAATTAAACGAAATAATTAATTTCTCTCTCTCTTTTTCTCCTCGTACCGTTTATTATTATTATTATTATTATTATTATTATTATTATTATTATTATTATTAGTAAAACAAACAAAACTCGTTTTTTTCCAATAACATTATTATTATTAATACGCAATCGTCGTAATTAAACGAGAGATGGAATTTACAATAAAGAAGAAAACAAACAAACAACGATAAAGCAGAAGACGGATTTCAAGGGAAATCAAAACGGTGGTGCTGAACTAAAAGGTATTCATGTGATAATCTCATCCTTCCCCCCTCTCTCAACCACTTCCGGTTTGTCTGTTTTGGGAAATTAATTTTTTAACGAACGGAGTTATCGGCACGTCATCACAAATTTAAACGTTTGTCACGCGAAAACGATTTTTCCCCTCTCCCTCCCCATTTTCGAATTAAGTACCAGAAGAGGTCAAATGTCAAAATATTCTTAATAAATGTCAAGAGTAATTATTATTATTATTACTTAAAAAATTGTTCACGATTTTGAGAAAAAAAAAAAATTATTTGACAATACGTTAACGTACCTGAACTCTGTTTAAAAACAAACAAAGAGACGTTGAAGGTTTACTGAAGATGACAACAACAACAACAAACTTTTCTCCATAATTTATTTAAATTTTTAGGGTGGATTTGCAATTATTATTATTATTATTATGGGAGAGGTATAATGACGAGGAGGAAAAAAAGAGACGAAAGACCTTTCGACCCATCTTCGAAAATTTTTTTTTTTTTTGGTAATGAGAAAGTCATTCGTAAGGTGGTTCGATTAACCTCAAGTTATCGAGGTTGAAGAGAAAGGTTGATTCGGTTGTACAACAACAACAACAACAAACAAAAATCGATTTGTTTTTTTTTTGTTGGTATCATTTATGTGGAGAGTCACGCTTTTGATCTAATTTTCTTTTTTTTTTGTAATTACGACGTTTGTTTCAAGGAAAATCCCTCATTGATAACAAACAAAGAGAAAGTGGAAATTTTTTTTTTTTGTCTCGTCCCGGTTGTTGTTTGCCTCCTGTATAAAAGAATAATAATAATAATAATAATAATAATTGATTGACTACTTTGTATTTTACACTCTCTTTGTTTAACATACTTTCGACTTTATTATTATTATTATTATTATTATATTCTGTTGCGTTGTTAACAAACGAACTTTTTCGAGTGCTTTTTGTTGTTGTTGTTGTTGTTTCGATTGTTCAAAATTTTTTCGATTATAATTTAAACTTTCTCCGCAGCATTCAAGGAGGGTTACTCACAAAAAAAAAACCTTTTGTTATATCATTATTATCATTCTAATTTAACCACCCGACTTTTTTTTGTGTCACGTGATTATTATTATTATTATTATTATCGAGAAAAAAAATTTCTTTTCAATTCCGTTCGACGATGTCCGAACGTTTCTTTTATTTTTTTTTTTCAACGAATGGTTTGTTCTGACCAAATTTAAACTCATCCCTACATCTCTCTCTCTCCCCTCTCCCTCCCTCTCTCCCTTTCTCTCTCTCTCACTCTCACCTAAAATAAGGAGAGAAAAAATAAATAATAATAATAATAATCGTAATTCGTTTTCAATTATAACAGTTTGTCATTTTGTTGTTGTTGTTTTATGTTGATTTCATCTATTTCAATATAAATATTGTTTGTTACGTCCGCCGCCATTTTGTTTTTTTGTTTACTTAAAATGAGATTAGAACGTTCTAATTTTTTTTTTTTTTTTGTAAATATCAATTAATGAGTATTTTGTATTCGTTTGTTTATATTTTTTTTTTTTTGACGTGACGTGATTGTTACGATCGTTTGTTTTTATTTTTTCATTCGATGCGTTTGAGGCAATTTCTATTTCCTTTTATGGTCAACCTTTTGTTAATGTTTTTATCTCGTTTATTAATCCGAAATTTATTAATAATAATTATAATAATAATAATAATTAATACGTTTGTTTAATTTATAAATAAATAATTTTGTGTTAAAGAAAAAATGTCGGATTTTATTAATAATAATAATAATAATTTTTAAAATAAAATTTTCGTTAATTAGTATCTTTTGAAATTCTTTTTTTTTTGTTTAATTGGCACCCCTGCATCGTGTGTTGCCTTTATAAAGGTTGTTTTATTACACGACGGTATGTCTCACTCACGCGTTTGTTTATATTTGAAAGTTTTCGTAACAAACGCGTAATAAAAATGGACATTTTGCAATTTATGCACTTCGTGATTGTGCGTGTCGTTCGAAAAAAAAAAAAGAAGGACGAGAGATTTTGCTCTGGAAAGATGGCGACGACGACGACGACGACGTCGTCGACGACATGACTTTTCCAGCCTTCGGTACGTCAAAAAAAAAAAAAAGCAAAATCCGACGACAGACGAGGTTAAGGTGAACAACATAACGCGTTATTATGAATTATGTCACATAATAAAATAATATTTAACAACGAGTTGTTTGTTTGTTTGTTTGTTGTTGTTTTTTAGGTGTCCGGAAAGTAAAGCAACCGCATTAAATTTTTTTTTTTTTTTACATAAGATTTATTATTAAAAGCAAAAAAGGAACAACAAACGTAAGAATCTTGTTATAAAAGAAAAAAGAGCAACTACAAACGTTAATTTATTACTTAATATAAAATCGGCACGCAACACACGAACGAGAGTAAATAAAAAAATGGTAACGAAAATAAGAAAAAATGTCGTTCGTCGTTTGTTAATACAAACAAACAACCAGAATAAAAATTTTTCCGGGTTTTTTTTTTTTTAAATAATTACACACCTTTAAGTCAAACGAATCGACAAAAACTGGTGAAATTCTGGAAAATTATTTTTAATTTAAAGAAAGTTTTTGAGAAAAAAAAAAATTAGAAATTTTGCCTTATGTTACAACCGGTAAACAAACAACTAGTTTATTTATTAATGAAACAATTTTTGATCCAAACAAACAAACAAACAATTAAGTAAAAAAAAAGAGTTAAAGGGAAAAGATAAAGGGAAGAATCAAAAAAATTCTGGAGGTTTAATAAAATTAAAAAATTTTTCTTCTGCTTTTAGTTTTTAACAGCAAATAAAAACTCGATTTCTTTGTACAACCAACTACCAAACGAAAAACAACAATGAGAAGGAACGAGAATGAATGAGAATAAAAAAAAAAAGTACCTGAAAATGCGTAGGAGTTCAGACTCTCTTGGTGAGTACAAAACAATCTAATTAAATTGAATAATAAAAATTTATGAAAAAAAAAATGGGGGGCAAGGAGAGGGGAGGAGGGTTCCCCGAGAGATTATTGACTTATTTATTATTTAGCGTAGGATATAAATTCTCATTATGCCATTTATGAAAAACAATCGGCCATTAATAAACCTATTAATTAATTACCTTTTAAATTTGGCAATCGAATTCGCAACTGAAAAAACGCTTGCAACAACCACCAACCGACCGTCTCTCAATTTTATCTCGCGGACAACTAAATCCAACCGCCCCCCTCCCAAACAAACAACCCCTTTATTAAAAACAACAACAACCAGAGCGTTTGTCGCGAAACGACGAATCATAACAAATGTTAAAAAAATAAAATAAAAACAAAATATCGTAATCATAATTATTAATTATTATTTAAAAATTTTAATTAACTTATTTTATTTATTTATTTAAAATTTATTTATTTATTTTTTAAACACAAATATTAATAATAACGGAGTCGTTTAAATAATAATAATTATTATTATTAATATTTCATTAATAATACCGGGTTTCAAAAAAAAATTTTCTTTTTTTAACCTCTCCTTCATTTTTAGACATTAGTCTATTTTTTAATCTTAAATGAATAGCAAATAAATATAAGAAACGTTATTTTAAAAGTCTATTTATAATTATTTATGTGTTTAAAAATTTTTTTTTTTTTAAATTTTTCTTTTTTTTGTCATTTATTCATTTATTTAATAAAACTTTATTGATTAATTAATTAATTAATTAATTTTTTTTTTTGAAAAAATGGGGGGGGGTTATGTGGGGGCGGGGGGCGAGATAACGGAAATAAAAATCGTAATTTTTCTACGCAGCTTTTTTTAAAAAAAAAATAAAAAATAAAAATTTGAAACTTATTAAATGTTATTAATATGTATATCCTAAAATTATTATTATTATTATTATTATTATTATTATTTAAAAAGTTAATAAGTTTTTATTATTATTTATACGTCATTTACGATTTTTTTTCGCACGTAAAACAAACAAACAAACAAAAAGAGATTCAAACGAGGAGTCGATTAAAAAAAAAAAAATTAATAATAATAATAATAATAGTAACAAAAAAGTTTAACGGAGAGATAAAATGTATATCGAAATATAAACAAAAGTTTTTTTTTTTATACACGCGAAAGGAAAAGTTTTGCGCTAGGTTACGACCTCTATGGGTTCCTGATCCGGAGTGTTGTTGTTGATGGCCTCCTGTTCTGCTTTTACTTTAACGTCATACGTGAGCGGAAGCGAATAATCTTTGGGTGACAATGTTTGTCTGTCGTCGGAAAATATGGTCGGCGTAGTCGAACGTTCGTCGGAAAGGGTTTCCGAATCTTTATCGTCCTTGACGACGGCGACGCTCATGTCTTGGCTCAGTTTCGGCGACATGTACGGATAGTTAGAGTACATGTGAGATGGAGTATCTCCCGAATAGGTAACCTTACCCATGAACATTCGGATTTCGTCGAAGCAAGCATCTTCGCGTTCGCTTTCGTTACTCTCCGGACTGTCCGCGACGTGAGAATTTCCGGTTCCGTCATCCGCTTCGTGTTTTTTCAAATGTCTATCTAGATTCGTTTGCTGTCCGAAACATCTTTCGCATGAGGGACATTTAAATGGTTTTTCTTTGTTGTGAATGTTTCTAACGTGCCTTTGAAGATTCGACGATATACTAAAAGGTCTTTCACAATACTGACACTTATAAGGTTGTTCTCCGGTATGGGTTCTCACGTGACGTGTTAAATTCGCCGATCTTGGAAATATTTTACCGCAGAATGTGCATCCGTAACGATCTTTCATTTTCGTCGAACCTCCGTTTCTCAGTTGCGACGATAATACATCCTGATATGGTTTAACGCCCGTGAATCCGGGCAATGGATTTCTAAGAAGGTCTAAGGAACGTTGATTTGACTGTCCGTTTGGCAATCCATTCATTAAAGATCCCAAAAAAGGAAATGTTCTGGGAGGGCCGAATGGCGGAGGCGGAGGCGGAGGAGGTCCTAATAGTCTTTCACTGTGCGGTGGAAAACTTTGTGGAAAACCAGCAGAAGGTCGGTACATTGCTTCTAACAGCATCGGGTGAATCGGTCTCGGGTAAGCCATGGTGGGAGGAGTACTGTTGGTACCGAGCGTTGTCGATAGAGAAGTAGTAGTGGTGGTTGCCGAACTCTCAGGTGTTGATGGCGGCGGTACATTTAATTTTAACTTTGATTCCGAAACATCGGGAGTTTTTGATTCTTGAGTAGTGGGAGTGGTGTTAGAGGTGGGAGACAAAGTTTTCGATGAAGCGGATTTATTGTCAATGGTTTTTTCTTCCTCTGTAGAATATACAATTCTTTTTCGAGACACCCTCAAGTCAAGGGGTTGTTCTTTATCTACCGTACTACGACTACCACCACCACTTTTACTACTACTAGTTGAAGTGAATTCGCCACTCGATTTGACCGAATTCGATTCTTCTTCCTTAACTTTTGAATTTTTTTTATCAGGGGAAAGTACTTCTCTAGGATTTGAAAAAATGGATGTAACAGCGCTCACCTGGGGTCTAGCAGGAGATGGTTTTTCAACGGAAACTGCTTCTTCAGCAGGTGCGGGAGATATTTTAGATTTTAATATAGAAGATGATGGTGGCGGGGGAGGAGGAGTTTGCAATTCTTTTTCATGATGATGAACATTATTGATTAACCGACGTTTTCTATCGACGGGAGATGCAGATCTATCATTTTCATTCGAGTACGATCTTTTCCTATGAGAACTCACTCTGGGTTGACTGGGAGAAAAGAAAAGGGAATTGCTAATGAAAGGTGTCGTGACCGAAGTGCTATTGGAAAGACCGCATAAAGACGGATAGGGTGAAAGCAAAGATGTCGGATAAAAGGGTAAATGTCTCGGGTACATAAATAACGGATTGCTAGGATTCGCTCCTTGAATGTTTGTCGAAGGTTGAGACATTGGTGTTGCCGTAGTACCCGTCGCAGGTGACGACGTAGAATCGCAAAATCTTTTGTGTTTAGTCTGAGACGTGACACTACTAAAAGATTGTCCGCATTTTCCACATTTTATTTGTAGTCGACAGTCTGCATGCATTCGCCTGTGTCTGCAAAGGTTCGAAAATTGCGTGTACGCCTGGAACAATAAAAATTTCCTCATTTGAAACACGAAAAACAAAACGAAGACGAAAAAAAAGGTTTCACTTTCATTACCTTAAGGCACACTTCACATTGAAAAGGTTTTACGCTAGAATGAATGTGCGTGTGCTGTTTAAGACCGGAAGAAGTTGCAAATGTTTTACCGCATTCAGCACAGGCATGAGATCTGGCTCCTACGTGATGTGTCCTTATATGACGCTGAAGATTGCTAGGATCCGTAAATATTTTATTACAATTTTCGCAGGGATATTTTTTTATTGCTCCGTGTTTTATGGTTTGATGACGTAGGAGACCGGGACGCCAGGAAAACGCTCTAGGACATCGATCGCATTTAAAATGTTCGTAAGGGTACCTATGAGTCCTCACCAAGTGATCATCTAATCTGTAAGATAAAAAATATTTTATTCACATTCCTCTCTCTCTCTTCTTCCCCTCCCCCCCATTCTTTCGCAATTGTTTACAGAGACTAGAGAAAATACTCGCTCGCTGGAAATGAAAATGATGCAAAAAAAAAAAATGCGTTTGTTCTGGATTAAAAAAAAAGTATTTTAGATTTGCGTGACGTGGTCTCATTTTCTCTATGGAAAAATCAATGTCTGACCGACGATTTTTGTCGTGTTGTGACACTTTTCCTTTTTTCCTTTTTTTTTTTTTGTTTTTATTGCTTTTATCAGAGCTGATGTCGGTTATTAAATCCAAAGAAGCCTATTAATTCGTTATTTTGTGTAGTTAATGTTTTCTTTTTTTTTTTTTTCCTCCAGCGAAACGATTAAGCTTTTTTCCCTCAGTCCAGTTTTTTTTCTTTTTTTTCCCCTCTTCTTTTTATCTTTATTTTATATCAACTTATTTTATACTTTCATTTGGTCTTTAAACTTAATGGATTCTTTTGAATTTTTATTTCTTTTTCCTCCCCCTCCCCCTCCCTCACCCTCCCCCCGAGAAATTATTTTAAGAAATTTTTATCTTCGCCGTCGGTAAAAAAAAAAAAAAAAAAAATAATAATTAAAATCATTTATTTTATTACGACACAGTTTATGCACGCACCTCACCTTCCCCCTTCCTTGTTTTTCGCACCCCCCCTTGTTTTTACCCCCCCTGTAACCCCAAAAAAAAAAAAAACTACTCACTGTTCTATATCCGGATAAACTTTATTGCAAACCGTGCATCGAGTTTCGTTTTCTTCGTCTTCTATATCTTCACGATTGTCTTCAAATGTTCCAGAATGTTGAGAACCTGTTGACAACAAACAAATTTAATAAGTTAACAAAAAAAAAAATGGCGGCGGACAAACGTTAAATTTACAATTTTACTACCCCCCTTGGCTTTTTTTTTTTGGTTTGCAATCGTTGTGTGTGTTTGTGTGTTCAACAATAATTAATTATTCTCTTTCGACAACCAACAACCAACAACCATTGATGCAGTTTATTTATTTATTGTAATCGATACAAACGAACAGAATAATAATTAAATTTAAAAAAAAAAAAAAAAATTTACAAAAGTAATTTAATATATATATATTACTCGAGTGAAATATGTTTGGGGAGGAGGGGGGGCGGGGCGGGGTAAGTAATAATTTTAATAACCGCCCCCGAAGTAATTTTTTTGTTTATATTAATTTATTCATAGTTATAAATAAAAAAAAAAACAAAATGAATTATGACTAAATTTTCCTTTTTTTTTTTCATATAAAATAAACACGAAAGATTTTTTTTTAAATCAGGAGGTGACTTTAAATCGGCGACACCGTCGGCAACCATTTTTTTTTTTTTCGCTAACCATCAGATAAATAATCCGCGCGTTATTCGTTACGACAACAACAACCACAACCACAACAATAAATTTTTTATTTTTTTTATCTGATGTTTAATAATAATACCTGTGATTTTCCGTACGAGAAAATTAACGATTGAAAAAAGAACAAAACAAAAACTTATATTTTATTATTAATCACTTAAATTATTATTATTATTATTATTATTATTATTATTATTTAAATCGACACTTTGGATAAATGAACAAACAAACAAACAGGAAAAAAAAATTTTGTTAATGTTAACTTACTCACTCACAATCACCATTAAAATACAAACTGACAATAAAAATAAAAATGAAAACCCGAAAATTTTTCTCTCTCTCTCTCTCTCGACTAAAAGGAAAAAGGGGTGGCAGTCGTGGTGGTGGTGGTGGTGGCGGCGACGACAGTGACAATATCAATCGCGTTATAATTTTCCAAAATAATAATAATAAAAATTTTTTACGATGACTGACTCGTCGTAAATTTAAACAAAGGCTCAACGTGTTTTCCCTCCCCCGAACCCATCGGACTTACTTCCGGTTAAACGTAAATTGACTAAAAAATAAAAAAAGGCGGAAGGGTATATGCGAGATGGGTTTACGAGGTAGCAGAAAATATAAGAAGACGTCGTTTAAAAAAAATTTCCCGCCCTAACGATAACCCTATCGAAGCGATAGGGTGGGGGGAAGGAGGAGGCGTCGTTACTGCCCCCTTATTCCAAACCGGAAGTTAGAAAAAAAAATAGTGGGGATTATCACCTTTATTATAATTATTAATCGTACATTTTTATGTTTTTTTATTTTTTATTTTTAACTTTTAATCAATTCATCTCGAAAGGAAAATTTTCGAATCTTAAACAAGAGAGAGAGAGAGAGAGAGAGAGAGAGAGAGAGAGAGAGAGAGAGAGTGTGTGAGAGAGAGAGAAAGAAATTTTAATTAAATTCATATTCATCGAACTTTTCTTTTTTTTTTTCGTTTTTTTTTTTTTTTATTTTGTTGACCTTTTTGATAGGATCTTGACTGCTGGAATCGGGTTAGCAACCGGTAACCAAGTATTAATAATAATAATAATAATTATTATTATTATTCCTTAACATTTGTCATTTGAATTTGAATTATCGTTGCATGTCAAGATCATCTGATTCTTCTTATTAAGTCACACACACGCACACACACACACATAGAAAAAAAAATGATTTATGTTATTATTTTTTTGCAAAAACGACACGAAATCTTTTCATAATAATATTTAAAATAATAATAATAATAATAATAATAATAATAATAATTTTAATAATATTCTGATGATAATAATAATAATAATAATAATAATAATAAATTTCTATGGACGAAAAAAAAACTGGATAAAATACCCTTTGGTTTTGTTTTTTTTTTTTTTTTTTTTTTATAAATCCATTAAATTATTATTATTAATAATTATCCGGTCGTTTTATTTATTTAAATAATTAAATTAAAGTAACCGCACACACACGAAAAAATTATTATTATTATCATTATCATTATCATTAAGGCCCTCAAAAAAAAAAAAAAAATTTAATCGCGAATTCTCCTCAAGTTGTTATTAATTATGAATTATTTAAAAAAAAAAAACCTGATTCGATTTCATTAAATTTATTGAATTTTTTTTGTATTGAATGAAAAACGATTTCATCCCCTCCCCTCCCCTTTTGCCCCCCTCAGAAAACTATTAAACAAATAGATGATGATGATGATTGAAGATTTTTAGCGAATTTTGTGAAATTAATGCACGACGAGGAGAACAACTGCGACAGCCAAAAACAATCCGGAAGAAAAAAAAATCACCGACCTTGAAAAACGGGGGGGCAGGCGGGGAGCAATGACGGAAAATGACGGAAATGATTTGAATTATTGTGGGAGCAAGGGGACTCAACGCTCGATAAAAGAAAACCCGATGAATGATTTTTCTAGAAATCAAAAGTGAAAACCGTGTAAGGAAATGTCGATGTGTTATACGCCACCGCCCCCACTCCCACATTTATTCCTGTTGAATTAAATCGAGACACCTGGAACGAATCCTGGAATGTTTCTTAATTCGTAAAATTCATTAAAAGTGATAATAATAATAATAATACGATCAGCATATTTTATTCACTGGACTCGGTTACATCATCGTCATTATTATTTTTTTAAATTTTTAACTCCTCCTTTCCCCCTCCTTTTTCTTTTATTTTAATGGGCGCAAAATTTCTTAATAAGTTATCATCATCATCATCATTATCATTATTATTATTATTATTGTAAAAAAAATAACGACTCATTTCATTACCGGCTACCTGTGAAGTTAATAACTCGCCCACAATCTAATTCAAATTTAATTCTCTCTCTCTCTCTCTCTCTCTCTTTCTATCTCTCCCATTTATTATTATTATTATCATTATGTTTTCTTTTTGTTCGCTACACGTTTTCCCGACTCATTTTTAAAAATCGGCCCATATATTTCAATATTGTCGTGTCGATATTTTTCCATTCAGGTTCAGGCTTTCAGCCAAGTAGGAGAATTTTAATTTCAAATGCGAAGGTCGTTTGTGTGTGTGTGTGTGTGCGTGTACATGGAGGATGAAAAGTCACGTGGTTTACGCGTAAATTCCACCATATAATAAGGTTTCGCCGTTAAAATTGTCGTTTATAATAAAAAATTTATTTCCAGCATCCGAGCATAAAATTTGAGTATGTATGAATAGAATAACGTCGGCGGGTAAACTCCGAGTGGATGCCCTAATAAAATTACGTTGTTAATAATAATAATAATAATAATTTATTTAAACGAATGAACGAACGAACATTTCCGCATATTTTTACTACCTTGTTATATATATATATATATATTTAATAAGTTTATTAACTTTTTTCAAATTTAAATAACCGATAATAATCTATTGACACGTTTTTTTCTATATCGAACGCACAAACTATATCATTATTATTATTATTGCGCAACGTAATAATAAAAATAATGAATGTTTAAGACGAGGAAAATTTCATTTTTCAGAAATTATTTTAAAAAAAAAATATTTGTGAGTGTGTGGGGGACCGCATCCATGAAATAAAGAGAGAGAGAAGGGCAAATGATGACAATTTTTTTTTAAACGGGATCAAAAGGTTATCGGATAAATGAGGGAACAGGGGAAGAGGAGAGAACGGAAGGAGGGGAAAGAAAAACAAAATCGGAAGACCCATTCGTTCGTTTGGACAAAACTAATTTTCCATTTCGGAATTATTTATTTTCCAAAAAAAAAGAAAAATTAAGGGTTGAATTAATCGATGAATTGCCTGACACTAAAACGAACGGCTACCCTTATTCTCTTCCGAACGTCCGTTTATTTATTTATTTAACGTGAAATGATGATTTTCAAATTACGAACGCAAACACACACACACAAAAAACGGGAAAATTATTATTATTTTTTTGTTATTTTTTTCTGTTTAAAATAATATTGATAATGATGATGATGATGAAAAAATCGTACGGTTTAGAATGACAACGGTCGTAGAAAAAAAAAAAGGTCAAAATACAATGTCAGAAGCGTTTGACACCTACGCAAAGAGATATCCAGGTGTGTTGTAAACCAAAGAGGGAGTGATCCGGATGTTGGACACGTTTGTACGTCGAAGGAACAAAAAAAAAAAAAGTTAATAATAACGCAAGCCAAGGTGATAATAAATACATTATTAAAAAAAAAAAAAATAAATAAATTCTCTTCCGCGTACATAAGACGTTACCGTTGGGGATTTCAACAAAATGGCGTCATTTTAATAATGATCCCAGGGATTTGATTTTATATAATAATAATTCACCTGCTTCAAACGTTTTTACCGCCTGTTGGCAAAATTCATGAACCAAAACGGAAAATCCATTTTTGGAATATGGCACACATGACACATATTATTATTATTAACATGAAAAATTCCGGAAAAGTCACGGGTGGAATGTGGGAAACCTATCCAACGTACCTAACGTTTTTAACGACCGGTACGGTTTTTAATTCACGCGGCGTTAAATTCCGTTCGAAACGATTGTAATCCTACTACTATTACCACTACCCCCACTACTACCACCCCTACCACGAATTGACAATAGAAAAAGACGTCGCCATCATCGTCACCCTTTGTGTGAAATTATCCATATGTTTTCGTGGAAGAAGAAATCAAAAGTTTATTTTTGCTCTTTTTTGCGCGCGCGCCAGATCACCCGATCGAGAACTTCCTATTGTGTTTATTATTATTATTTTTAATATTAAAAAAAAAAAGGAAACGGAAATTAAATAAAAAAAAAAAGTTTTTCAATTATGGGATTTTAAACACCTGAATAAAATTTAAATATCCGAACTAAACTTAATTATTATTATTGTCATCCCGCTTAAAACTTTCCCGTTCCTTCCCCAAAAAAATTGGAAAAACAATTTAAATAATTAATAAATATTATTATTATTATTATTTGAATTTTTTTGTGACGTTACGAAGTGAAACTATGGAACGATGAATCCATCTGTTTCCGTTTTTGTTTAGGGGTAAAAAAAAAAAGTTTTCCAGGTTTTATCGAAATTTTTTTAAAAACAAATCTTTCGATTTTTGTGGAGTGACACGTCAGAAAGTGATAAGTCGAGTGGAGGGGGGGTTGTGATGTCATCGTAATCGTGACAACAAACGCACAACGTCACGTAACGGAGAGTAATTAAAAAAAAATCGTTGAAAACGGTCACGGTCCGACGAATCGATAGGGTAACAGATGTTAAAAACTTTTGACTTTAGTTTTTTTTTTTTTGATTATTTTTCCAGATTGCGTTCGGATTGGATGAAAAGTGGCGGGTCGACAGGTGCTATCAGGTCAAATAAACCTGAGGGAGAATGGAAATCTGATAGAAAAAAAAATGTTTGTTGGCAATGCGCAAAGAACACGCGAACGACAAAAACCAAAATAAATTTAATCGAACGTTAATACGTTCGTTGATCCTCACGCACACGCACACGCACAATTTTCCTTTTATTATTATTAATAGGTGTTGCCGACGCGAACGGCGATTTAAAATGATTTTCAATGCCTTGGTTAAAATGAAAAATGGACCATCATCATCAAACGACAACACCCCAAGTTTTTCTAAACCCAAAATAAATTGATTCTTCTCATTATACAAAAAAAAAAAAAAGGTCGTCGGTCCGCGCGGATTAATTGATATACACTTACAAAAGCAGACGAAAAAAAATCGTATATGGCTGACGCATAATAATAATAATAGTAACAACATTCAGTCAGTCGAGGGGGTTGAAACCTTCGATATAACACGCGTGACAACGACACACACACACACAATAACGTCACCCCGCGTTTTTCAATGAAGTTTTAATGCTACGTACGCGTGCAATTTTATATTAAGGGATTTTTTTTTGCTTTTTTTTTCTTATTACGATTTCGTTGCTTCGTGAAAAATAAAAATAAACGCATTTATATTTAACCCTTTTACCACATCGGAGGAAATTCTAGAAGAATTTTTGGAGAAAAACTGGAGAAAGAAAAATTCATTTCGAAGGTTATGTAATAAAAACTCACAAAAATACGACAAGTTGCTTAAACGACGTTTCAAGGAGTTACAAACGACATAGTTTTTGATTAAAAGATGGCGGGCGTGCGCGGCCGTCGTAGGAAAAATAAAATTTTTTTTTCCTCTGTTTTATTCTTTATACTACGATTCGTAAGAATATAAAAAGGAAAAAGGAAAAACAATAAAAACTTCTCTTTCATTCATCATCATCATCCCTCTTCTTCTTCTTCATTTTCTCTTCGTATAAAATATTTAAAAAAAAAAAAAATGGTGGAAGAGAGTTTTTAATTAAATTCTATTAACATTTTAATTGTTCGTTAACATCGCGTGCGTCGAATATTAAATCTTGTCACAAATTTTGCAAAGGATTTTTATTGGTGAAACTTCAACTCCGACAAACGACACCCTTCTCACAGAACAAACTCACAAATAATCTCTTTCTGCCACCACCCCAACCACCATCACCACCGCCTTCTAATAAAATCCTCGTCGTCACCGTTGCCGTTCGTCTTTCCTCCGTACGACCAAAAAAAAAAGGAAAAAATTGTTTCAAAATGAAAACTTTTCTTTCATTATTATTATTAGTAGTAAAAGGAAAAGAAAATAAAAACAGAAAAAGAAAAACCCTTTACGAGGGGAGGGGATGCGGATTAATACGTTTAAAGACAGTGCTGCCAACTGTTTTTTTCCCTCTCTCTCTCCCTCCCCCTTTTTTATGACAATTTTTTTTTCTTTTTTTTTGTACATTTAACGCAGATTTTCTCTTGTTTATTATGACATTTATAATTAAGAAGGTTTTTTTTTCCTTTTTTTCTTTTCCTTTTTTTCCTTTTTTCCTTTTTTTATTTTTTTCTTCTTTTGGTATTCTCCATATTTACGACTTTTTTTAATTACTTTTTCTTTCGATTATTTAATTTTTAATTTTTGTAATTTAATTTCATCCACCACCCTTCCTTTCATATTTTTTTTTTCTTTTTTTAACCTTCGGCATTTCGTTATTATCATTATTTTCTTATGTGTCTTTTTCCCTCTCTCTCTCTCTTTCTTTCCGAGTTAAAATAATAATAATAATAAAATAAATTAATTTTTATTAATATTACAAATCGTAAATATTACACCGTGACCGTTATAAACAAAAACATTCAATGACTTTAAACTTTTTTAAAAAAAAGTCAATAAAAAAAGTTTTCGGATCGCTGACGGATAAAATCGTCTGCTGGTTCATAAAATAAATCTTCTCCGTCGTTATTATTACTCATTTTTCTCTCTCTCTCTCTCACTCTCTTTCTCTCTTTTAAAAAAAAAAATTAATAATAGAAAAGAAAGAAAAAATTGTAAACCGTAAATGAAGCTGACAACATTATTCGAACCGCAATTGAAAGATTAATAAAAAAAAAAAAGAATTATCATAATAAAGTCATGAGATTTAACACAAAACAATTTCTGTCAACAGAAATTGCATTTTATTTGTGTGTGTGTGTGTGATATATGCTATTGTTACGCCTTCTTTTATCAGAAGAAAAAAGAAAAAAAAAACATGCCTCCATGTGTTTTTCTACAATGGCGAGTCCCACGCGAACGAAGCCGAAAAAAAAATGAAAACGACAAAAAAAAAAGGGTGAGATTTAAATAAAAATCGGTTATAAAAGTCAATCTGGATTATTACACTACAACAACACAATTATACACTACCACAACACACACACACACACACACACTACAACACCGCAAATCCTACAATAGCAATAGATATTAATATTGTGCTGTTGTTTCGATTGCAGTGTTGTTACGTTAAAACAAACGACGGGAAAAAAAAAGAAATTTTTTAAATTAAAAAAAAAAACGTGGAAGAAAAGAAAGAAAAAACAATAACAACAATCCTATCTGACACACACCTAAAACAACAACAAACAACAACAACAGGAAGAAGCAATTACGTTTAAAAAATTACACGACAGAAAAAGGAAATTGAGAGCAATCAAAAAAAAAAAAAAAAATTCATCTGTCTCGATTTTTGATTGACTTTCGTGTGAAAAAAAATAAAAACCTGAAGTCAGTAGGGGGAGAGAGGGATGGAGGGAGGGGAAATTTCTGAACAATTTTCATCCCTCATATCTCGCAAATAATAATTTCAAATACAACGCGCCGCCGCCATCACCTCGTGTGAATTTTTTTCATCATCAGGTTAACAAAAAAAAAAAAAAAAAAAATTATTTTCCACGTGAATGAAAACTCTCGAACGGAGGGGGGAGGTTGAGGGGGGTTTTTTACCCCCTTTCTCTTACCTGTTTCTATTTCTTTTTCATCCGAATTCGTTCCTTCTCCGAAAACATCGAGTTGAAGTGGTTCTCTAGGTCCTAGTAACAATTCGTCAGTCTCTTGAATGTCTTGAATCGTTTCGTAGTAAATCTAAAAAAATTACAACCCAAATTATTAAACGTAAAAGATGGGGGAGGGGAGGAGGAGGAGGAGTGAGAAGAATTGGGGGCGTGACGGGTTAAAAACGAATTGTTTTTATTTTTATCTTTTATCAATTTAGGGTATTTAAATCACGAGAAAAAACTAATAAAAGGCAAAAATCTCCTTGGAGCGGGGGGGCACCGAGCGATTTCTTTGGGGTAAGGGACGAGGAGGGGTTAGAGCGAGAACCATCGTAAAAATGATGACAGAACGTCACCAAATTATATTGAAAAAATTCTTTGTTTCACACGTTTTTGATCGACTTAATTAAAGTTGTCGTATTGAAAAACGCACCATCGTGACTTTATTCGATGATGATGATAATGATAATGATGATAATAATAATCATTAAAAAGCGCGAGGAGTAAAAAAAAAAAAAAAAAAAAAAAAAAAAAAAAAAAAAATTTTATTCGTCGTCAAAGTCATCGTTTTTTTTGTGTTATCGTGACCGTCACGCACAATGTCGCTCTATAATGACGATAAATTTAATGCAATAACTAATTGACGTCGAAAAAAGAGAGAGAGAGAGAGAAATATCCGACATGTCAGGTCAATATTAAAAAAAACGACGACGATGATGATGATGATGATGATGATGATGATGATAAAAGTTAGTTTTTTTTTTAGTTTAAATTTCATTTCGATATTTAAAAGAAAATTGTTTTTTCAAACCCGGGGAAAAAAATAAAAATGTACGACCGCCATTTTTTTTTTTTAAATAAATAAATCTTATCGATATCAATCAAAAAAAAAAAAAAAAATTTATTCGGTGAGGTCAGTTTATTATTCCACGCTAAAATAACGGACAAACGCAACCGCATCATTAACTCGCAAAAAAAAAAAAAAATGGAAAGTATGACACAAAAAAAAAAATGGGATCGTTTTTGTGACGACGCCGAACGTACAAAAAAAAAACGGGAGCCTAAAAAAAAAAAATTCATTGTCCGGCACGCGAAATCAAAACGACAACAACAACAACAACAACAATCACAAAAAGGGCACACGAAGGACACGACGATAGAAAGGTTTGTTCTTTAAAGAAGGCTGTGGTGGGATTCGGTTGGTCACACAAACACAAACACGGGGTGAGTTTCGTTGTTGTTGTTGTTGTTCGCGTGAGATAAGTAATAAAAAAACGTTAAATCATAACTTCTCCGTTAAGAAAATTATTAACACTCTGTCATGAAAATGAAAATCATCAAAATATCTGAATATATTAGCATACATTCATTTTTATCAATTCTGTTGGTCAACCTGTGTGCGTTGGGGAGCTCCCCACCCCACTCACACCCCTCACAACGACCACCAACCGATTTATAATAAAAAAAAAAAAATCACAACGATTTTCTTTATTCTACCGCAATTATACGTAATTGCCAACCTCGGTTGGTTGTTCTTTTTTTTTTTTACGCTTGTCGTTTGTTTGTTTGTTTCCTTCCTTGTTCATTTACATCGTCATTTTTTTTTCTTTCCTTTTCTATCTCGTTAATAATCTTTTCCTACAACGTAAAAATTGTAGTGAATGAACCACAAACTTATCAAAAAAATTTTTGTTTTTTTTTTATGCCACCCGCAATCGCCTCCCACCTCCCACCCCCCTTCCTTCTTTTCCTACTCCTACTCCGACGTAATAAACCGTTCACGTTATTATCATCATCATCATCATCATTATTATTTTTTTTTAAATTTTAATAACTGTGATTATGTATAATAAAAAAAAAGTAAATAATATGATAATTAATAACTTCTTTCGTTATTATTATTATTATTTTTTCCCCCTTCCCCCTCCTTCGTTTAAATAATTTCCACGACATTTTAAATGGGGGAAGCGGGAGAGTAGGGGGTGGGGAAAGGATTCAAACTCGTACCGATATTTAATTCATTTTCCGGTTTACGTAAATTACCAAAAATAAATAAATAACATCGCGACTTAATAGCTTTTCAAAAAAAAAAAAAAAAATTATACATAAAAAAATCGATCGTAATTATTATTATTATTAATAATAAATACGTAAAATAATACTTGAATTTTATGGGGGGAAAGGGAAAAAACGGGGGGAAGGAGACGATAATAGGTTTAACTTGTTTTTTTTTTTAAACTGGAAAATCTTTAAAAGTTTTCAAAAAAAATTTTTTTTTATTTTTAACGCGAAACGTAAAATTCGTGATGATGAAATGAAACGTCATCGATGACGTCATAAAAGATGAGAGGGGTAAAGAGAAGGGCGGGGGTGGGAAAAACAAAAACAAAAAAAAAAGATTTAATGAATTTGATGTCAATCGAATAGTCACGAAATTTAATAATTTTTGAAGCGTTTCCTGCTCGCTCTCCGCTTTCTTCCGCCCCCTCCCCCCGGGAAATTTGTTTGTTTTGGATTTTAATCATTATTATTATTAATATTAATGTTTGAGACTTACCTGACCCGTCAGCAAAAAATGTTTTAAATTTTGATTTTTTCCAGACGTCGATCTGATAAATTTCATCCAATTATTTATTTCTAATGTTGCGTCGAAATAACCTTTCATGTTGCTACTCGGTACTCGTACCTAAAAATAAACAAAAAAAACATAATTAAAAAATTTTCTCAATTTTCCAATGGCGGAAAAGCAGAAAACTAATTTATACATATAAATCTTGTTTTAAAAATAATAAAATTTATCTAAAATGTCATGATAAAAGTCACACCGATGGTAACGAAAAGTGTTTTTAGAGGGTGTTAGAAAGAGAGAGAAAAAGGGATACCGAAAGATGTAGTAATGCTTAGGGTGTGTTCCGGGGGTAGGGGGAGGTGAAGGGAGAAAAGGGAAAGAGGGTTGATGTGTGGGTTTGAGGATACGCATTAGAAATCATCTCGTTTCATGGAAATTTTACATCTCGTGATCGTTCTACCGTTTCAGGATTCATCTTTTCATTTTCAACTTTTTTTTCCTTTTTTTTCTTCTTACTTCCTCTATTCCTTCTTCTTTCTTTCTATTCATACGACATTTAAAAAAAAAAAAATTTCTTTTTTCATTCCTTTCTTTCTTTTTCCTTTTTCATTTCTCAAAAGCTTTTAAATATTAAAAAAAAAAAAAAACGACACAAGAAGCATTTTACCATTGTATTTAATTAAATTTTCTTCATTACGAATAAATGCGTGGGTGGATGGAAAAAAAATGATAATGATGATGATAATAATAATACAATTTTTTAATCGTGAGCAAGGAGAAATAAATAAATAAATAAATAATTAAAAATTAGTTGAAGAAAATTCAGGTAGATAGTGTTGATGTAAACAAAACAAACCTGCGCAGGTAACCTCTATCGGGGAAATTGTGAACTAATTTTTTTTTTTAATCCTAAACATTTGTGGGGGGAAAAAATGATTTTTTTTTTTTGATTAATTAATTAAACGAATTCATAGAGATAATGTTATCACTAAAAACGATAATAATTATAATAATAATAATGATGATGATGATAATAATAATAATAATAATAATAATAATAATAATAATAATAATAATAATAATAATAATAATAATAATTTAAATCAAGCGAAATAAAAAAAAAGAAAATTCACATGAATTTTCTCGAATAAAATGATGAGATTTTAGCTTAACTCCGATAAATTTAAAAAAAAAAAAAATTTTTTCCCTTTTCTCCAAGATTTCCAAACAAAAGATGTCTTCTTCCAGCACCTAATTTTTTTCTTTTTTGGGGGGGGGGGAAGGAGGGGCTTTCCCGATAAATTTTTTTAAGGAAAATTTAATTCACCGAAACTTTTATAAAATTAAAAAAAAAAAATTATTTTAATTTAAAAAAAAAACAAAATTGTTCCTGATGCTGTCGTTCGTTTTAGCGTCGCCGCCATCTTTCTTTTCGCGGTTTATTTTTGTAAAATGATAATAATAATAATTGACCTTTAGGTTAACTTGTATATTCGATCTCTCGTCTTTTCAAATCATCATTTAAAATTTTTCTATAACATTCCGCTAATTCGGTTTAGCAAAAAAAAAATTCTTAATCTTATTATTATTATTATCACCATACTACAACCTTTTAAATACTCGTTGAAGTATTATTATTATCATTATCGTACCTGAAATATTATCAATCACAAACAAGACCGATTTAACCGGGTTGGAATCTTATTACAAACAAACAATCCTCGAGTTTCAAATGACTCAAAATAAAAATAAAAATAAAAAATTTTCATTCCGGTACTTCTTTAGTTATTATTATTATTATCATCATCATTATTATTGATTGAAATGATTTCGATTTATTTCCAGTGTGGTAAACATTTTTTTTTTGTCATTGAGGTTAAAATCTATTGTAGAAAATCGAATCGTTTTTCACGGTTCCTGTTTTTTCTTATAAATTTACCGACGAAGTTTTTAATAAAAAAAAAAAAAATGGCGGACATCTTTTTTCTTATTCTCCAAACTCTCAATATCTCCAGAATAAGAAATAAAATAAAATAAAACTTTAAATCTTCGTTATTCCTAGCTCCAAATTTTTTTTTTTTTTTGTTTAAGGTGAGAAGATCCTCTTTGATTTTATTCAGGCAGACACGCATCGACTTATGTCATTCAATGTGATGAACGTACAACGACACCCCACTGTGCACTCCTGCTTCCACGATCCCTCCTTTTTTTTTTTTTCATTATCAATAATTCTTTAAAAAGGAAAAAAAAAAAAAAAGGCGCGTAAATTTATATACCCTGTGAATCGAAAACCCATGAATTCTTTTTTGTCGGTAACAAATTAATAAAATAATTATCAACCACTCATTTTAACCAAAAAAAAAAAATCTCACTCCAAAACCTTCTTCTTCCTCTTCTCCTAACTCACTTAACCGAAAAATTTTTTTTCAATTTAATTGAATCCTGGAGAAAACTACAAACGGAACACATTTAACACAAAAAGAATTATTTCCAACTGGAAAAGTTAAAATTAAAAAAAAAAAAAAAAATTATCTATTTGTACGTTGCACGATACGTCCCGTGTAATTTCATTCGATTTAAAAATAATGGGAAGAGAGGGGAGTGGGAGAGAGGGTGGGAGGAAATCACGATGAGAATCCCTTTTTTTTGTAAACTTCTCCAGAAAAAAAACATTTTATTAAAAACCGTATTGAAAAATGAATTTCATCATGTTATTTTCGTCATCAAATTTATACGAATCTTTGGTTGGTTCATGCAGCATCATCAAACATCTTCATTTAGACATGTCGAGAAGAATAAGAAGAAGAAGAAGAGGAGTAAAGAAAAAATTGCCTGTTGCAAAATAAAAAAAAAAAAAGTATTAAAGTCAAAAGAAAAAAAACGAAATGATTTATGTGAATTTATTATTATTATTACTACTATTATTATTATTATTATTATCAAAGGCTCATCCATAATCACCCGTGTACTGAATTAAGATGTGAAAATTAAATGGTTAAAAAAAAAAAAGAAAAAAAAGACACCTATCATTATTGTATTTATTTATTTACTTTTTTTGATTTGATTTTTTTTTAACGTAAAATGATCGACATGACGTTAACGATAACCTGAGCGATAATATCAATTAATATTTATAAAAACGTATTAGTGCAATAAGGGTATCAAATTACAATCAAACTGTAAATAAATGTTTCTCTTTTCGATAAATCTCGTCACATCCTTTTTTTTTTTTTTTCTTTCTCTTTTCGGGGTCGAGAAAAGTGGTGTGAGGGGAAACGCATGGAATCCTATTGAAATTCGGCAGCCCGTAGTAAATGCCATTGTCACCGAGGTGTGAACCCCACAGAAAGAGATATCACTAATCCGTGTTGTGTTGTTGTTGTTATTGTTGTTGTCGATACACTTACAAATTGTATTGTTTTCCTTTTTCTTCGTTTAAAAATCAAAGGAAAAAAAATTTTCAATCGATTTTATTTTAAAATAGATAAACAAACGATACGATTTAAATTTCCGGTTTTACGAGGAAAAAAAAAAAAAACTTATCAGAAAACTTGTTAAACCTTAAACACACACACGCACACAAATCAATTTGTTTTCTACCGGGGAGGTGAGGGAGTAAGAGGGTAAGGGGAGTTAGTGGGATGTAAAAACAAACAAACGAAAGCGAAAACAACCCGTCAATTTTTTTTTTTTTTTAAACGGATAAAATACAAAAAAATCAAAGGTAGATGAAAAAATTTTGCAAAGGGAAAAGGAGTTGAATTATCGAGGCGAGTGTACATTTGTACAGTAGTAAAAAAATATATAGAAAAAGACATCTGTTTCAAACGAATTGGTAATTCATAATATTGCAATAGACGTACATGATCTATTCTATAACCATCATCATCATCATCATCGAATACCTTTCAATATTGAAACCCCACGTCATCGTACATACGAAACCTTCTGGAATTTTTTTTTTTTTTTTCTATGATGGGATGTTTGGAAGCAAAAGGTAGGGAAGAAGCAGAAGATGAAAAAGAGGAATCAATTTCGTAAACAAGTTTGTCAATATTAGGGTGAAAAAAGAGCCACAATTATTAAAAAAAAAAAAAAAATTTTTTTCGTGTCAATAAACGTTCGTGACAATTAGCGGGATAACCCATTTTTATGGGTGACAATTTTTTTTTTAATTCTCCCCTCGGATCTACCCCCCTTCCCCCTATTTTTTTTTTTTTTTTTGAAAATTGAAGCCTTTTTTAACATTTAAAAATCCAGAATAATTCAATTTTTAACGTTTGTGTTTGTGTGTGCCCCGATCGCGTATTGTTGTGCACACAACAACAAAAAAAAATTTTTTTTTATTTTCTTTTATGATATTTACCGGTTTTTTTTTGTCTCGTCGTCTGCTTGTACGATTTATAAATAAATAATAATAATAATAAATATTTTTTTGCACCGCGCGTTGTTTGTTTTCACGTTCGAATATCAAATTTCTTACGTATTTTTTTTTACGATTGACGTGGAAGGAGAAAGTTTTACTACCCTTATACGCACAAAACGAATTTTTTTTTTTTTTCAATCAAGTCACGCATTAATTATTTTGTGCGTGCGTGCGTGATCTTTTGCAAACGTATTTTATTTAATAAAATTACCACTCGACCTTTTTTTAAATAAATTTTCGAGAATTTATTATTATTATTATTATTATTTAAAATATGATTTTAAGTAAGTGGATTCAAAAAGATTCCAATTTTTTTTTTTTTTTGACTTTGAATACGGTAGCTAAAAGAAAGTCCCCAAAACGTTTTATTTAGGGGTTGAAAAAAAAAAAATCACTTTAGAAAGTTAAGTGAGGCTCGGTTGCGTGATCCATTACCCGTGTTCATCCAGGCGAGAACGCCAGGCGGGGCCACTCACCCGAACGGATAATTTCATCCTCTCCTTTTTATTATTGTTTCAAGTGGAGGAGCAACAGCAAAAAAAATCCCCTTCTCCCCTTTGATGATATAAATTTTTTTTAATAATTTAACCGGAAACGGGAATTTTTTTCCACCGAAATTTTCTCTTTATTACGAAGAAAAAGGATGAAGAGAGAAGGAGGAGGAGTGAGAAGAAGAAAAAACTCTAAAGAAAATTAAATTTTAAATTGAGTGAAAAATTTGCGGACATGTGTTTGTTTCCCCTCCCCCTCCCTTCTTCCCCCTTCTTCCCAAATTTCCTTCCTTCCTTCCTTCCTTCCCTTGTCGGGATAAAGTTCCGGATTCACTCGAGTGATGTTAATTCCACGATCAATCATCTTTTCAATTTTCCTTCTCTCTCTCTTTCTCTCATTCGATTATTATATTAATATGAGTATAATTTTTTTTTTATTTTTCTCTAGAAATTTCGATTCTTCCGAAACAGAAAGAGGAAGGGAGGGGGTGAGGGAGTAAAAACAAGATAATTATCATTATTTAACCTTTTTTAAAAAAAAAAAAAGTTTTTATGACTTATTTAAAAAGCAACACCCGTGAATCGTTTGAAAAATATTTATGTTCAAAAATCATGCAACGGTTTATTTGAAATAAGAGAAGATTCTAGAACAAAAAACCACCCCTTTAACCCTGAAAATATTATATATATCCGAGACTTAATAAAAAAAAATTTTTTTTAATGTTTTACACCTCCCTTATTAATAAAATAATACTTTAAAAACTATACGTTCGTCCCGATCCGTCCGTTCGACCATCCGTCTGTTTGTCCGTTTATTTGTTTGTTTGTTTGTCCGCCCGTCGGTGTTTCTTTATTTTATTTAACCCACATTTGACTGGAACCAATTGCCGTCGTTCTGAGAATAAAAAATTACGTTTCCCTATTTAATTTAATACGGCATTAAAAAATAACCGACCCTCGTCATTACTTTGGATGGTGTGCGTGAGTGCGTGAGCGAGTGCGTCGTCGTCTTATAACATCCATAAGATATATAGGAAATGGTTGACAGACAGAACGTGATCTCAAATATAAAACCGAGTTCACGAGGTTAGATGAAAAAAAAGGCACAAACGAGGATAGGATAGCATAAGGCGTGGTCGAACAAAAAAATTTTTTTTTTTTTTGGTAACTTTTGCCTATGAATGGAACGCAATAATTTGGAGGAAAAACTATCGATTCGTTTGTATATAAAACAAAAGATACAAACAAACAATCTTATTCATTTATTTTTCCCATTGGGGGGTCGGTGGGGAGTGGGTGGGAAGAGAGAAAGACAAAGAGAAGTGGGATGATGAAGGGATTTAAAAGAGAAGCCACCGGTTTGTTCGAATCGAAAATTCAAGAGCGAATTTTTTTTTTAAATAAATACGTGTAATAAGAAATGACGCGAAGCGTGACACGGCACGTGTATAAAGACAAACATCTTTAACCACGTCGAAGATGATGATAATGATGATGATGATGCGGCGTGCGAGTTTTAATGTCTTTTAAACGTAAACCACGTGCTCCGGTATAATTAAAACAACAAAAAAAAAAAAATTAAATTGTTTACTTTCTCGCGTCGACGCCATTTTTATTTTAAATAAATAAATAACGGACGATAAATAATTTTTTTTTAAAATTTTAACGTTCGTTTTCGAATCCAGACCCACCCTCACTCATACACCGAACGACAACAACAACAACAACTTTTTCTTTCTTTTTTTTTTATTATACGCATTTATATATATTTATAAATAAATAAATAAAAAAATTTAACAAGCATGAGAGAGTGAGAGAGTGAGAGAGAGAGAAAAAGGTCAAACGTATAATAACATAATAGAATAACTATGTTCTAACAGTAATGCGACATAAAATATAAACATTATGAGACAGTTGACGAAGACATGGAAAAGTCACGTTTCTAACCATTGTCTCAACATTCAGGACCGGAAGAATTAAAAAAAAAAAAAAAAAAAAAAAACGTAACCAATCAAATGGTTATGCTTTGATTCCTTTACTCGATTTTTTTATTTTGTTCCAGGACTGGGGAGGAGGGGAGAAACGTTTTTTTTGGAAAGGATCGTCTCGTTTCGAGCAGAAGAAATTATATATATTACAAAAAAAAATAAAAAGGGAAGAGAATCGAAATGTTTGTAAACATTGAGTCCGTCCATCAGTCAGCGAATAATAAAACGAAGACAAACAAACAAACAAACAAATAAAAAAAAAAAAAAAAACCATTATCTTTTCTTGATAAAAAAAAAACGAATAAAGGAAGGGGGGTAGTAGGGGGGGAAAAATTGACTTTTGTGTTTAAATAATTGGTTAAAAATAAGGGAAACAAAGGAGTGGATGTGATTAATGATAAGGGATGTTTTATCAATTCAAACACGTAAATGGAGTTTTCGAAAAAAACGAATTTAAATCCGTCAAAAAGTTTTTCAAATGAAACGGAATTATTATTATTATTATTATTATTATTATTTCGCTTTGACCCCCCACCCCCTCCCCTCGTTTGTGTTTAAAACAATCCTTGTGTAAAAACATACACACAAAAAAGAAAAATCTTCAACCGAATCTTGTAAAGAGAAAATTTTTTAAACACTATTTTTCCTTTCTTACTTTTCACAAAGGAAAAAAGGAAAAGAGAGAGAGAGAGAGAGAGAATAAAGAGAGCAATAGAAAATTATTATTCCTTTTTCTCTCGTGATTTGACTTCCTCACAACCTCGAGGGCAATTTAATCTAAAACTCGTAAACTTTCGTTTTATCCAACTGTCAATGAATGTTTTCTCTCCCGATGTGCGTGCGAGTGCGTGAGTGCGCGTGTGTTTGTGCAAAAGAGTTTTCAGATATTGTTTATTAAAAATTTAAATTGGGCGCGTTTCGCCCAGAACGCATTTTACCCGTTCGTATATTTCTCTCTTAATTAAACTTTTCGGTTGGTCATAGAGTAAAAAAATTTTTTTTTTAAATAATAAACGCGTTTGTAAATTTTAGAATTTTCCTTTTTCCGTTTCAATAAAATTTTGTGTTTGTCACCAAAACAAAACGAGACCAACGGTCGCGATTGTTTAAAAAAAAAAAAAAGAGTGTGAGGAGAACATTATTACCTAATAATGATTTTTAAAAAAACAACGAAATTTTCCTCTAATAATAGTAATAATAATAATAATAATAATAATAATAATAAACTAAGAAACTTTATACAATGTTATAAGAAATAAATAAAGGAAAAACTTTTCGTGAAATTTTCCAAAAGGGAAAACCTTTTCTCCCTCCCCCCTTGTTTTTTATTTTAAGAAAGTTGTCCTCGTTGTCGTTGTTGTTGTTCTTAAATGTTAATAAATGTTTAATAATAATAATAATAATTTCCGTTTTGCCAACATTACGAGAATAAAATTTTTTTTTGATTTGAAACGCAATAAAAAAAAAAAGGTTTAACGATTTTTTTTTGTGTAGTCTAGTTTTTGAACGACATAAAGAAGTTTTTGTTTTCTTTCTTTCTTTCTTTTACGTAAATAATAATAATAATAATAATGATAATAATTCTTCAAATTTCAGGTATTATCTAAACTTTAAAAGAGAGAGAGAGAGAGAGAGAGAGAGAGAGAGTGACGTAATCGAAAGTCCGGAGGAAGGCTGGGGAATTAAAAATTTTTAAAATAAACAATTGACGTAAACAAACAAACAACAGACAAACAATTATCATCATTATCAATTTTTATTCGAAAGTTTGTCGGCGTTATGTTGGCAACAACCAACCATGTTTTGTGTTCGGAAAATGGAAAAGGAAAAAAAAATTAAAAGTCATTCTTAATAGTTATTATATGAAAGTTTAAAAAGTTTAAAATTATTTGAAAAATGTGACTTTGACCCCAATTTAACATTCGACATGTAAAATGATAAAGGAAAAAAAAATAAAAGGGAGAGATAGAGAGAGAGAGAGAGAGAGAGAGAGAAAGAGAAAGAGAAAGAGAAAGAGAAAGAGAGAGAGAGAAAGAGAGGACAAATGAAAACAAAAGGAATACCATCACCAACAGATGACGATGATGTACGACCTAATAACCGCTGTCCAACATCAATAATAACTTCGGGGAGACTCAAACTTTTTTTTTTTTTCCATTTCATATTTTGCACGATTACCTTCCTTTTTTTTCCTTTTTTCCTTTTTTCCTTTTTGACTCTTTTTTTTTCATTTTTTTCACATCATTTCCTTTGAAAATTAGAAAAAAGAAGAAGAAACAAAAAAAAATGCTACCACGAAAAAGTTTTACCCGGAGGGGTGGGTTAAGGAAAATAAAAAAAACGATTGGGCGGGGGCGGAGAGGGGGAGGGGTAGGGGTGAAAAGTCACCGACTTTTCCCTTCTTTCCATAAGAAAAAAAAAATCAATTAAATAAAATAATGATAATAATAATAAAAATAAAATAAAAGGCGTTAGAAAAAGGAAGGCAAATGCAATGTTTTGAAATTTCAAATGGGAGGGGAGGGAAAAGGGGGGTTAAAAAGAGAGATAATTAGAGCGGAAGGGTTGGCAACATTTGCATCATTCATATCCCTAAAAGGTTTACGACTTATTTTAATTTTGATTCAATGTTCAAAAAAAAAAAAAAAATTTTACGGCTCATTTACCCTCGCAATTTTGTTTGTGTCGCAAAAAAAATTTCCTTTTTTTTTTTTTAACTTTTCTAAAGGCACGACGTTATTATTATTACAAATCTTATTTTTATTCGTTAATGTACTAAAAAAAAAAAAAAATTTTAAGAAAGGCGCGCGCACGCGCCAAAAAAAAATTTTCTTTTTTTTTTTTGGGTATTCGATTCGCACACGCACGCACACGCACACGAGAAAAAAAAATTTATTTTTACTTCGTTTAACAAAATAAATTCAAAAAAGAAAGAAAGAAAAAAAAAAAGTAAAATTAGTTTTATTTCAAAAACTTCACGTTCTCTTAACGTCGACCCGAAAAAAAAAGGAAAAACCTCAAAAGGTTTTTCCTTTTTGTTAATAAAAAGAATTAAAAATAAAAGCTGACATTGAATTTTTGCCTTTTCGATAAAAAATTATTTTTTTTTTACTTTAGTTTTAGTTTTTCTATATTAACTATAAAATAAGCAAAAAAAAAAAAGGAAAGAAAAACCGGTTATGATAACGAGTATAATTTTTCAAAAAAAAAAAAAAAATAACCGGAAACGTTTACCGGGATAAAACGCATCCCTCCTTCGTCGTCGTGGTTTCGGTTCATTTAACTCGAAGGGATGGAAAAAAAACGAAAAATTGATTTCTTCATTCGCAAAAAAAAGAGAAAGAGAGATATAGAGAGAGAGAGAGAAAGAAAAAAAAAACGTGGCATTAACTTACCTCCCATGCGTATCTTCCATCGATCGGATCCGAAACCCATTTTCCAAAAAAAGGACCGTATCTAGTACCTTTTGGTATTTTTTCTCTTGCCCAAACTCCTCTTCCGGGTTCTTTTACTTTAAGTTCTTTTGGAATTCCACGTATGAGAGTTTTCGATAATAAATCCACGTGATTTCCGTTCGACGACGATCTTAGTCTCGTTGAAACGTCATAATCGTCGGGATTTCGAAATGTCGACGGCATCGACGGCGTCGTCGTCGTCGTCATCGGCATCGCATTTCTCAAACTTAAACGTTTTTCCGTGAGATCAGTCGCGGGTAATGAATTTTCATTCGTACGATTAACAACTACAACCACGTCGGTTTTTAATTTCTTTTCACCGTTTCCGACGTTTTCGTCATCATCGTTGTCGTCATTTCCGTTTCCGTTCTCTTCGTCACTTTTTCTCTTGGTTCTATCGGAAATAATTTTTCCGTTACGTTCGTCTTTTACATCATCTCTTCCATCATCTTCTTTCTTATAAAATTCTCTCTTATTTTCTTCTTCTTCTTCTTTTAATTTCACTATCGTTAAATCTTGCGGAAGTCCTCCTCCTCCCTGTTGTGATGATGATGATGATGATACTCGTTGTTGTCCTCGTCGTCGTCGTCGAATCGACAAATCTTCCGATGTTTCTGTCGTCGATTCAACCGAAGGACCTCTCGTCATTTTAACAATTAATTCCTCTTCTTCTTCTTCGTCTTCCTCCTCTTCGGAACTTTGTGTTGTTGTGACGTCACAATCGACCTCTTCTTCTTCGCTGCTTTCTGTCAACAAAAACATAATAATAATAATAATTTTTTTTCCTTCTTTTTCTTGTTCAAAAATAAACAAATTCTGTATTAAATATTATTTATACGTAAAAAAAAAGAAAAAAATCGCACCTGATAAGGTTCAAAGAATTTTCGTACAAAAAAAAGGTATGAACCTGAATTAGGTACTTGTTGTTATCTTTTAACAATTCGCTTTTTTCTAAGAAGTCAAAAATAAATCTTGATAGATTATAATAAAAGGTCAAAAACTAAACCTTCTCATCATTTCGAGGATTTAAATTTACCAAAAAAAAAAAAAAAACATCCGCAAGTAATTTTACAATTCATTGAATTTAAAAAGAAAAAACTCGTCTACAACCCTTATTATTATCATTATTATTAAATAAACAATTATTATTATTATTATTATTGATTTATTATCGACGATTTTTATTTAAATCCTTTTAAAATTAACGAATCATTTTTTTTTTTTCTTAGAAGAACAAACGACACGAACGGTCCCCTTTTAACAATGAACATCTTTGTTAAATCACCGGCTACGATGATGATGATGATAATAATAATAATAATAATAATAATAATAATAATAATGATAATTGTACGAGTTTGTTTCGCGGTAAAAGAGTGAATTTAAACATTTTCGATTTAGAAAAAAATGATTCTTATTGTTGTTGTCGTCGTTTAATTTATTATTATTATTACTACTACTCGGAATCGTTTTCCGCGAATAAAATTTATGTTTCATAAATAAATTTCCGTACATAAGAAATCAATTAACGACCGAAGAGGGCGAAGACAATCAATCAATCAAGGCCAATCAATCATCATTCACTCCGGGGTCAGAGTGAGAGAGAGAAAAAAAATATTGGTCATGTAGAAAAAAAAAATTTTTTTTAACCGAGCTTCTTCTTCTTCTTGTTCCGCACGAAAAAAAAAATAAGAAGGAAGTGGGGTGTGAGAGAGAGAGAGAGATTAGGGGGAATGAGAGGGGAGGGGGCTTTGACAAACATAGTTGCAGAAATTTATTATTGTTATTATTAATAATAATCATGACGACGATAATATTTATTTACTTTACGAAAAGTTTGTTTGACGTGGCAGTAGTGACGGTAGTGATGGCGGTGGCGGTGGTAGAGGTGGTGGTGATGGTGTTGGTATCCTTTTGAAACGATTTTTTTTTTTTTGTACTTTATCAGAAGTGCCGAACGATCGTAAAAATTCGACACGCAAAAACTAATAAAAATTAACGAGTGGTACGTGATTCGAGGGTTCTTCCAGGGGATAGTCGCCGCCGCCATTATCATCATCATCATCACTACCATCGCTATCGCTATTAATAATAATAATAATAATAATCGGATGGTCTCTTTATCATTGTCACGACGATTAGAAAAAACAAGTGAACGCGCGAGAGATTTCATTATCTCCAACTCATTTTTCGTGTGAATTCTGGAGATTTTTTTCCTTATCGTAATTTAATACCTGGAATGGGGATTCGTTTTTCATTCCTCGTCCGACATTTATATCTTTTTCCCCGAGTCAGCAAATGAAGACACATGAGTTGACAGATAAATCCCGATTTTTTTTCGTCATGTTTTTCCCACACGGATATCAGGTGACGGGCGCGCGTTTTAAATTCCAGGTGAGGGATTTTTTTTTCAAACGTCCTTGAACTTGAATTTTTTTTTTTTTCGGCAAAAAAATTTTTAAATCCGATTCGTTTTTCTTTTCATTTTCCCCATTTAGCCATTCCCCTCCCCCTCACCAACCCAACCCTCGTCCTCTTCGCTACGTTTCTTATTATTATTATTATTATTTCGTGATAAAATCGTAAAAAAAAAAAAAATCAATTATCCATTATGAAAATATTAAACAAAAAAAAAAAAAAAAAGATTATTATTGTTAACAAATCGTTGTTAGCATGGAAAACTTTTTTTTTTTTTAAACAAAAGATCTTTTGTTTAAAATGCAAATAATAATAATAATAATAATAATGATATTCAAAAAGTCATAAAAAAAAAATTCAGATATAAAGAAAAGCCTAAAAATCAAAATGGTTCTCTCTCTCACTTGTTCGAATTACGAGTGTTTTACGACTTTGGATAGAAAAATGGGAGGTGGAAAAAAAAACGCGCGTTATCAACGTGCGTGATTTTAAAATGAAAATAATAATAATAATTCGGCGGTGGTAAGACGACGACGACGACGGTTGCGGGGAGCCATTTTTTTTCTTAAACTTTCCCGAAAAATGAAAATCTTTTCCCTCCCACTATTACACTCCTCCTTCATCTTATTTGTTCTTTCGAATTTTCTTAGTACCGCCGCTGTCGCCACCACCACCACCCCCTCGACTATCATTCCCGCCAAAATTCAAAAAAAAATTGTTGCGTTTGTATTTTACTTACCTTTGTTGTAGAGTTTGTCCAAAATATTAATTTCATTTTGGCTTCTGCATAACCGAATCATAATTTATTTAAATAACATTTCTTGTTTGTTAAAAAAATTTAAAAAAAAAAAAAAAGCAACCCCCGCAAAGGTACGTCAAAAAGTTTCCGCAGTTTTTTACAACATTACGTACTTTTAAAAAAATATTATCATCATTATTATCATCATCATCGTAATCACTAAACTAATAAATCGTATAAAAAGTTTTCCTTACTTCATTTCTTTCTCTCTCGAAAAAAAAATAAAAATAAAAAAATAAACACAATTACAAACAAACGACAACATCAAAAACAAACAAACAAACAAAAAAACTAAAACATTATTACAACAACACGAAACTATTATTATTATTATTATTATTTTTAATTTCAACAAAAATAAAATAAAAAAAAAGTAAAAAATGTCGACGATCGACGTGATCACTAGGAGAAATAAGTAAGAAGTGTGCACCGGGGGTTGAAATCTGTGTTGCACGTCTAGAAAACATCAGGCGGGGATTAGGGAGGAGTTAGTTTCCCCCACCCTTTTTAAAAAGCAGCATCCCTTTTTGAAGTCAAAAATTTCTATCCCGGAATTTTAGGGGTTGAAAACTCTTTACCACACACACACACCAACGGGAAGATTTTGATTACGTACAAACACAAATATTTTTTTAAATTTTTTAATTTTTAAAATAAAAAATTTAAACTTCCGTATCCGGTAAAAATTTTTCCAATTAATAATAATAATAATAATAATTTATCAACGAGTTTATAACGTTATTAACGTTTTTATTTACATAAAATAAATAAATAAATAACTAAAAAAATCTTTTTTTCTTTTTTATTTTTTTTTTATCGAAATGAAGAACTCAGAGATGAAAAACAAACAAACAAACAAAAGAAAAAAAACTTTAATAATAAAAAATAAAAAATTCATTTTCCAAATGAGAGAGAGAGAGAGAAAAACCAAAAAAATCGAAAAAGAAAATAACACGCTGATATTAATAATAATAATAAAAATCGAACTAAAAAAGGCTGGGAAAATTTCAACTTCCAAGGTGGAAAAACTTGGAGAAAAAAGAAAAAACAGGGAAAAGTGGATTGAAAGTGTAAAAACGAACAGTGGCGGAAAAAGAAAAAACGAGTAAAAAATAAAAAAAAAAAAAATAATAATAATAATAATAATACGGGTAAGAAAATTTAAGACGAACCGAGAAAAAAACTTTTAAAAAAATTTTTTTTTTCTTTTTGCCTGCCAAAGGAATAAAAAAGGAAAGGAAAGGAAAAAGTCAGTCACGTCTGTTTCTGCTGAGTTTTCCTCGTGGTTTTTTTTCCTTTTTTTTCCGTTTTTTGTATTCCGAGAAAAAAAATAAAAAGAAAACTTTTCTTTTTGTGGTTTTTCTCTTTCTTTCCACATCAAAATGAAAAATACACCGGAATCAATTTTTTATCCCCTTTCGTTTCTACCTCTCCCTTTCCCTCCCCATCCCCTCCTCCTCTTTTTCCTGAAAACTTTTCGAATTCCTTTTCGGTTAAATATTTTTATTCGAAAAAAAAAGAAGAAGAGAAGAAAGGAAAAAAAAAAGGTGAAGAAAAGGATGGAAAAGTTGGAGAGAGAGTAACGATGTGAGATTACAACAACTACAACCCAAAACCCCCTCCTCCTCTCTCCCTCTTCCCCCTCGTCCCTTTGTCGATTGTACACTCCCTCGACTCGCATACAAAAAGTTTTGGGCCATTAAGCTAAGAGCCAAACTTTGTTTCCAACAGAAAAAGAAGAAGAATAAATTTTTTTTTTGGATTGGCCTCCTCTTTAAAAGCATTACAATTATTATCTCTTGTTAACCACTTATGACGTTTTTTCGGGGAGAGAATGAGAGTGAGAGTGAGAGAGAGAGAGAAATAGAAAAAGAGAGATAGAGGGGAGATGAACAACAGCTCCGGACTTACTTAAATTCCATGATGTGGTAAAGGACTCACTTCCGTTTTTCATTGTGTGCTCACTCATTGTGCTCCCCGTGGAGAAAACAATTCCAAACGTTTTTTACCTCCCTTTTCTTCTTTTCTTTTTCATTTCGTAACCGACATTTCTACTCGATTATGACTTTTCCATTGTTTTCCATCTTTTCTTTTCATTTCGAATCGATCCGTTAAAAAAAAAAAAATTCGCTCCCCCCCATTCCCCTCCCCTTCTTTTTTATTTTTCTACACGACAGAATTCGCGATATTTCAGGTACATCCCCCTACCACTACCCAATCACGACAACAACTCATCATATAAACCAAACGATTTGATATGTACAAACACAATCTTCATCCACGAATAATAATAATAATAATAATAATAAACGGCAAATTAAAGAACAATAAACCATTATTATTATTATGTTAAAACACTTAACCCCAAAAAAAACCCTTTTAAATTCGTTTATAATTGACCCTACCCGAAAGAAAAAAATTTTTTTTTTTG